GGAAGCCAGGGAGAAAAATGGGAGGCCATTTGTCTCTGAGGAACCTACCTTTTTAAGCCACTTTATGGAGGTATAAATACATATTTAATGTATGCAAGGTGATGAGTTTGAAGATAAGCATATACCTGTGAAATCAGCTCTACAATCTATGCCAAAAACATATCCAACACCTCCAAATTTCTTTCCTCCCACCCATCTTTTTCTCCCAGTGATAAGAACACTCAACATAAAAGCTACCCTCCTAGAAGCCTTATACATGTAAAGTACAGTATTTTCAACTATAGACACTATACTACATAATAGATCTCTAAGACTTATTCCTCTTGTATAATCAAAACTTGATTCTCTTTACTAATACCTCCCCACGGCCCCTCCCTGGATGAACTTGAGGACATTAAGCTAAGTGGAGTCAGTCAGACATGAAAGGAGAAACGATACATGCTATCACTTCTGCAAAGAACCTAAAATAGTCAAAGGATGGAATCGTGGTTGCCCTTGTCCCATTTACTGACATTCAGTCAAGGACAGAAAGAAAAACCAAGCTTCCAGCAGTCATTTTGCCAGGAACTCCATGGAGAGGCTTGGATTCCATGCCCTTGTTCTATTGCCCACTCCAGTCCTCCTCCATGGTCCTCCTGAGGCTAATGACAGAGGATGTCTCTGTTACAGCTGGACACACGTAGACAGGCAAATAACCAAGCTTGCCCAACCAGCTGTGGATCCTCGCACTAGCACTTAGAGTCCTGGTCCCTAACCTCTCAAGAGCTGACTCCTAGGATGCAGGCATTTTCAAATCACTAGAGGGGAGTTTTCAAGTTGATACACAAAATATCCTAGAAAGCCCCAGTCAGTATTTTTATTATTTTTAGACTCTGTAATCCCTTTCGCCATCCCTATAATAATGGCTTAGTCATTTTTAAAATTTTTCCATTACAAAAAAAGCTATTAGGTATTCTTTGTTGAGCTGTGTACATTTTACATCCCACACCTTAAGTTCATTTTAAATTAATAATATCCATGAAAATTAAAGAGTACTTTTGATATCTTCCCATTACATATGGTGCATGCAACTTAATTTATTTAAATTAATTAAATATTAAATAACATATGATTTATAACATAATAAATCATAAGGATGTGTCTTGTTTGGTTAGGGAACTAAGAAGTATTCAAATGTATACCAAAGTTGAAATAGGGGTTATTGCACTGAGAGCCTGCTCTTAATATTTGATAATAAAAATTTCTGAGTCATGGTTATCAAATAGTATAAAAATTATTTATTTTATAATGCTTATGTATGTTTCCAAATGAAATAAAAGAAGGTTTCAGGTTATAATTTACAAACATTTCCACATTACCACACTGCTGGGCTTGGATGCTTGGTTCTTTGAATGAATGGTCAAATGAGCTATAATCATTACTATATTGTTCCTTTGCATCTTGATACTTTTAAGTACTACGGACAACTCAGTGGTGAGGGAATTCTAACTGAATGAATGTAATGTGTAGATTTGGTGAGAAAAAGTCACAAACAGGTTTGCAGAATAAGTATGCATTCTGGCTTTGAACCTTGATTGAATGCAGATCTGCGTTAAATGATATGTTCTAGATAGATCTCATCCAACTCTCCAGTCCCATCTCTGTTTTTGATACACTATGTCCCATTGTTAAAAGTTGGCTTTTACAAATGTTCCTTCTGATATGTGAATGCTAACACACAATAAGTGGGGGTAGGTGGGAGAACAGAAGTTCATTGAATTAGGGGAATGAAGGGAAGGGAGGGAGGACAGGAATAGGAAAGACAGTACAAAAAATAGGACATAACTTTCCTACATTCATATATGAATACAAGACCAATGTAACTCCACATCATGTACAACCACAGAATTGTAAGTCAGACTCCATGTATGCATAATATGTCAAAACGCATTCTACTGTATTTTTTTAAAATGTTGCTTTTATGGTTTGCCTCAACAAAGTCCCTTGAGCTCTGGTTTATACTGGGTTTGGTAGATAGATATCAAAGGTACATTTATTCCCTTCAAGCTGTCTGAGTCTTGTGACTAAAGGCCATAGAAGAACCCTGGCCATCTCCTGCCTCTTCAGACTAGGCTTGACCATGGCCCCTCCGTTTCTAACCTCAGTGTTCGTCACTATCCTAGGTGGTTCCCCTCTAATCTGCACACACATTATAAATACTCTTTTTATTAAACTCTCATCAAGCTACATAATTTAAGTGTGAGTGTTTCATTCTTTTTCTGACTTAACTCTGGCTCTTTCATAAGACAGGGCTATGAATGATGACAATGTCAAACCAGGGAATGGCCTTAAACTTGGCAGCCTGAGATGTTCAGTTAATGTTAAAGGAACCAAGCAGCTGAATCATGAGCTCTCTCATGTGATCACATTAAATGCCACACACACACACACACACACACACACAGTCAGGCAAAAATACATTCAGAGCTCAAGAGAAAATCACTCCAAATATTTATTATTCAATCAAGAAGTAGAAATCGAAACCATATTATTAATACACCCTAAAAACCCACCAAAGCTTCAAAAACACCAGTGGGAGAAAAGATTTGCTAAGTGAAATGGCTATTTTTTAAACCCACCCAAAGAAAGACATTGTGGAATAATTGGGGTGAGACTTGGGTGAGATTTGGAAGCCTGTGGGTATGTAAGGATGTACAACTCTACTGATAAAAATGACACCCAGCACCAAAGTTTGAAATGGCTTTTCAATCACTTAATCTGCAAATGGAAATAGAACTGTTAGCTTTCCCCCAGTCCAGGGCAGGATCTAGGATGCAAAGGAGAGTTATCATCCAGCGAGGATATGATAGGTCTAAGACCATCCCATCCTATCATTGCTTGAATCTAAGAACTCGTGAGCAGCTGGACTGTAAGGGGTAAACATTATAGGAACATTGCATGAAGAGCTGGACCATCCCCCCGATAACTGTGTGCGAAGAAGCTACAGGTACTCTGGGAGGATTGCCAGAGAACGTGCACAGGAGAGGGGATGGTCTTAGCCATGCAGCATTCGGGGAGTCCAGGCTTCCAATCCACCGACCATGCCTACATAAGCTGAGGCCACACAAACGGGAGTGCGATCTGACACCAGGCAATGCTTATCCTCAAATATATTATGTTCATTGATTTTTTAAATAAAATTCCTCCAATTCCATTATAGTTTGAAGTGTTGAAGTGGTGTCAGGTATAAGACTGCCCAGTGAAAGATTCTTTTCCAAAGAGGAAAAACTTACTCATCCAGATTGTTCCTACAATCACATGTCTGACTCCAAAATTGGTTGTGCCTGACTCTCTTTTCTCTACACCTTCTCTCTCTCTCTCTCTCTCTCTCTCTCTCTCTCTCTCTCTCTCTCTCACACACACACACAGAGTTATAGTTTACAATTCACAAAGTAAGAGAAAATTCAAAAGCCCCAAGGTAGCACCATGTAGGAAGAGGTAGATTCACCCAAAGGAGACTAGAAGACTGACCTCCTACTTCCCAGTCATGTAAAATGACCATCAAAATCTTTCCACTTCCCCTTCCTCCTCACTTTTTTCTTTAACTCAATCTGCTTTCAGACTATTTTGCCAAACTCTTTACAGGCTAAAAGGCAACCAACTTAGAGCCACTGGGTGGAACCTGAGGATATACTACTAGTATAAAGGAGGTCCATGCCCTGAGAACTTGGTTACCAATTGCTACATCATATTTTCTTCCCAGGTATGAGACACAACAGCAAAATCAATAAACTATTTCCAAGTTTCCTTCACCATCCACAATCCTACTCCAGGCAATGTTTGACTGGAAGGAGTCACATAAATGAATTAATTAAGTAATAATTAACTGATAAACAATACATTCTCTCAAATTATCTTGAACTCTTGCCAAACTCAAACTTCCCATTACCAATGTCCCATTACCAATATCAGTTTATTACTGATGTCATTTAAAACATTCTTTATTCTATGACTGACCTCTGTTTAATCTTCCCAGAGGTTCCTGAAATCTCCTAAAGAAGAACTTTTTACACTGGAAAAAATTCATACTCAAATCAGTTCAGGTCGATAACATTTGGAGAAAAGCTAACAGTTCTATTTCCATTTACAGATTAAGTGGTTGAAAAGCCACTTCAAACTTTTGTGCTAGATCAATAATATTTGGAATGTGAGTTTAACAGCACACAATCATATGCCCCCACCCTGTTCCACCTCTCTTTTCCAAGTGGCACTGCATCAGAGGAGCCTGTAACCAGCCAGAGTGAAAGAGGGAAGAGACATACACAACCACCACCAACAGGGGCATCTCTTCCCAGAAACTGATAAGAAGAGCTATGTATTTCTAGCTTCTGACCATGCTGTCATGCATGGCTCTGCTCAGCACCTTGTATCACAGTACAGATGCTCACTCTTGGACATGGGCAAAAGTAGCATTGCTCAACATTCCATTAGTTTGCTGTTACTGACCAAATAAGTATGATAGCCAGTTTGCCTTGTAGGGAAGTTTTAACAAAATAGGAAAACTTGCTTTCCAAAATCATCCATCAGTCAGTCATAGTGATGCATGCCTATAACTGCAGGAGGTTGAGGAAGGAGGATCACAAGTTCAAGGGCAATCTGGGTAACTCAGCAAAACTCTGTCTCAAAATAAAAAATAAAAGGGGCTGAGAATTTAGCTCCATGGTAGAATGCCCATGGGTTCAATCCCTGATACCAAAAACAAAACATAACAAAAAATCAACAATCAGAGGAATTCTCTGCAAGGATGCATCCACCTAATTCCTTTTATTAAGACCACTACCTCTTGCAGTGAGCTGTACAGCAACTGAAACAGCTCTTCAGAACAGTGGACCTGGAAAAATAGGACCTTTCAGGAAACTGATGCACTGAACATTGGATTTAGGGACAGGACTTGTCGACATGGGTGCTTGCAAAAGCCTGAGGAGCCTCCTGTGATGGCTGTGGGTGGCTGGGCCTCTTACCTTACCACACTGCTTACATTTCCCCTCCTGCCGACGCCTGTGCACCCAGTGATGACGCACAAAATTCTGTGGGGGAAACAAAGTTAAATGAATATGTGTTAATTTGCAAACCTCAATATTCATTTTTTTAATGTTTAGAGACTACAGGATTATAGAAACCATAACATAAGCCCCTAGAAGCACAAAATCAAATGTGTAGATACAACTTGTTTAGCAATGAATATGAATCCACTCCAAAAAAAAAAAAAATGAAGCTACTTCTCTATGCCAGTGATCTTTCACAATGGGAGACAGAGTTTATCCTGCCCTGTCTCCCTGTCTTCCCGGTGGCAAGCAGCCAAGCCAGATTGCTGTCACTCCACCTTAGTAGGAAAACATGGTGCAGATTTGTGAACAGGAAACTGGACTGGGAGATAACTCAGACAGGTATAGGAAATACCCAAATAGAAGTGAAAAGGTGAAGGAGAAAAGCTGACACATGGATAACTGAACATGACAAATGGCTGCCCTCCTGCTGTCTCCAGCCACCCCTGCCACAACCCTCAATGCTGGAGGCCAGTTCTACTTCCACAGGGCCCTCTCCTCAACATTCTACCTAGAAGGAACTTAAAGAAATCAAGTTATCAGAAAGCAATAGATCCCCTGATTTGGGGCATTGATTTGAGAATCTAGAAGAAAACTGCTGTCGATAAGAGATGTGGGCATATTGGTGGTGTTTGCTGATGGTGTGTTTAACCCATCCTCTACACTAGTTGAGGTTAGTTTTCAAGGTCTGTTCTTGTCTTGGACTGTAGGAAACACAGGAGGTCCTCTTCCTCCCCCCAGGTAGGTGATCCCCTGGGGACAGAGTCAAGCAGCCCCATCTCCATTACTCTTAGGATGTTACAAGAGAGAGCATGGTCATCCAACTAGCAATGCAGGTGAACTCAGTAGCTTAATACAACTCATCCCTCTGGAACCAATATGCCTGACATACTTGATAAGTTTTTTTCTCTTGCCCTTTTCAGATAAAACACACTTTACCTGATAATAACATGTCTATGGCAGAATCTAGCCATGGTCCATATTTCCCCTTTAAAGGACCCTTAAATATATTCCTTAATTCAAAAAATATTTACTAAGTGCCTACTGTATGCCAAGCACACACTGAGTGCAGATGGACAAAAATACGAGATCGGGGTTGAGGGAAGAAAAAAGCTTTATCAAGGCATGAAATTCAGAATGATGAGAATACCTCCAACAAGTACTACTTTTATTAATAAAAAATCACCACCTCTATTCTCTTAACAATGTAAAATCAATTTAAAATAAAACTGAATAAAGGCTCTGGAGGTATAATGGTCTTTAACTGTAAACTGTGAAGCAACATACTGATCCTACAAATTAGTATAATTTTTATCTTGTTTTTCACTCTGCTCCCATTTATTAAAACAAAGATACAATTCAATATTTCTCTCAGAAAGCAGCTAATCATAATAGCTAACACTTACTGAGTACTATGTTCCATGAACTTTTAAAAATATTTTGTATGTAATAATCCTTTTAGTCTTCATGAGAATTTTAATAAATAGAAGTGTTGTTCCTTAGAAGTGTACCAATCAACCTCTAGGAGTTGTTAAAGTACTAAAATGTTTCCAGATTAGCTGTGATTTAGCACCTCTACCATTTTGCTAGCTCCTCCCCTACCACCATAGCAACCCCTAATGCACCCTCTCAATATTGAAGACCATTTTTACATCTTCTTAATTGAACAATTAGGATGTAAATTTCTGACATATTGTGTCTCCAAGATCCTGTTCCAAATGAGTTATTTTGTGAAAACAAATCCTGCTGCCTGGGCAATGCCACAAATTCCCTCAAAAACCTCAGAAGACTGGGCTGGGTCCACCCAGTATGGATTGTCCATGGAAGGTTAAATATCCACATGGGCGATTTGGGGTACCATATCTGGGTGTAGCTTTCAAGATGGTGGCAACAACTCCAGAAACGTGCCCAGTTACCAATATTCATTCCAACAATTCAGAGGAATAATTCTGTTGGTGGAAGATGAAGGTCCTGGATCCTCCACCTCCTACTTTGCAGGTAAGGTTACTACTGAGTGATAGAATTCTAGTCCAGTGCCTACTGAAGAATAGGATGGGGAGGACTGAAGTCAACTGCCAACTGCAGTAGTTATTCCCAATCACATTATTGTAGGGCAACTCATCAGAGGGCTCGACTTTGGTCAGAATTATCCTCCTCACTTTACAGATGAAGAAGTCAAAGCACAGAGAGGTCACAAAGAATTTAAGAGTCAAAGCAAGGACTAGAACTCCAACAGACTGGCAGTAGAGTCTACGCTCCTTCCATGGCATCTCTATGCCTCCTCAACTCTGAAAGATTAGGTTCAAGCTACTTCAGCATGACACACCAATCAATGACTTCAATGACAGTCAGGAGTGGAAATATTGAAAACATAAAAATGTCAGACACTAATCAAAAAGGATTGAAAAAATTTAATACAACTGCTGTTATTTTAGCAGAAACTGAGGGAGATTGAACAATATGATTGATGTTAAGAGAAATTCCGCACTTACTGAGATTATAAATCACCTAGTGACTATCAATTTAAGAAGGGAAATGTTGGAAGAATTGGGTGCAATTAACCTATGAGAAATCATGGCTGACTCATGGGACCCTTGAGCTAGTAACAGCTCCACTCAAGAGATTAAACCTACAATTTCCACAGATCAACAGTAATTTAGAAATTAGATGACTTAATCATTTGCACTACAACATCTATCATTTGGCAAATGGTTATTTTTTTAAAAAATAATTTATTTATTTATTTCTGATTTGTTATACATGACTGCAGAATGCATGTTAGTTCATAGTACACAAATGGAGCACCATTTTTCATTTCTCTAGTTTACACAAAGTAGAATCACACTGTTTGTGTCCTCATACATGGACCTAGGGTAATGATGTCCATCTCATTCTACCACCTGTGCTATCTCCATATCCCCTCCTTTCCCCTCCCTCCCCTTTGCCCTACCCAAAGTTCCTTCATTCCTCCCATGCTCCCTCCCCACCCCCATCCTCATTATTGATCAGCATCCACTTATCAGAAAAAACATTTGGCCTTTGGTTTTGGGGGATTGGCTTACTTCACTTAGCATGATATTCTCCAACTCCATCCATTTACCTGCAAATGCCATGATTTTATTCTCTTTTAATGCTGAGTAATAGTCCATTGTGTACATGAACCACAGTTTCTTTATGCATTCATTTATTGAAGGATATCTAGGTTGGTTCCATAATTTAGCTATTGTGAATTACAGTTCTGCTATAAATATTGATGTGGCTGTGTCACTACAGTATGCTGTTTTTAAGTCCTTTGGGTATAAACCAAGGAGTGGGATAGCTGGGTCAAATTGTGGTTCCATTCCAAGTTTTCTAAGAAATCCCCATACTGCTTTCCAGATTGGTTGCACCAATTTGGCAAAAAGAGTTCTTATACCATGTAGTTTAGTTCATTTAAGGAATGGGAGAAAACACCTTAAATTTTTATTTAAAAACTAATGTAGGGGCTGGGGATGTGGCTCAAGCAGTAGCGCACTCAACTGGCATGCGTGGGGTGCTGGGTTTGATCCTCAGCACCACATAAAAATAAAATAAAGTTGTTGTGCCCACCAAAAACTAAAAGATAAATATTAAATCAATCTCTCTCTCTCTCTCTCTCTCTCTCTCTCTTTAAAAAAAAAAACTAATGCATATGATTCTACCAGTCATTAAACATCCTGAGTATTATCCTTCCAAGAAAATAAGTGGGAGACTGAGGACATGAAAGCACAGAGAAAGTAACTTATCCATTACCTTTACTGCAGAAGAAACTCTATGATTTGAGATGTCAAGCAGTTGTTATTCAGAGTTCTTCTTCCTCCTAATATAAATTGATCCTATTGCTTCTTTAACATAGTTTGAATAAAGTACATCCAATAAATGTACGTTGAGCTGAACTGAATTCTCAATCTTACTTCTTTGACAATTAAGTCATGTGGTTATCATTTGGGGGAGGAAGAATCATCAGTTGCCTTCATCAGTGAGATAAGGAAAATCTTTATTTCCCAAGCACCTCAATTCTTCACACAATTTTCTTTTGACAATTATTCATACCTCTTAATTTGTTGGACTAAAATTAGATTTTTTCTATGTTCTTTTGACCATTATTCATATCTCTTAAATTGTTTAACTGATATTAGATTTGCTTCCAAATGTGAATGTTGATGAACAGTTGTTAAGACAGAACAGCAAAGCTTCTAACACAATAATACCTTTTCATCACTCATCAATAATTTCTGAATTATTCATATACTTCAAGTAAGTATAAGTAAGTAAGGGAAAAAGCTATTACTTATAGGTGTTAAAATATCAATGATGTATTATTTCAAGACTTATCTGCAGCTGGGCAAGGTGGCACAAACCTGTAATCTTAGCAAGTCAGGAGGCTAAGGCAGGAGGATCATGAGTTTGAGGAAAGCTGGGGATGTAGCTCAGGTGTAAAGCCCCCTGGGTTCAATCCCCAGTACCAAAAGAAATAAAAAAAATAAAAAATACCCAGTGTTGTTAGCTGAGACATATAACACAATTGCATAGTTATTTTCAAACAGCCAATGCAATTCAAAATATTATTCATAGAATGCTTGAAAGGATCTTAGAAATCACAACCCAATCCATATGGCTTATGACTAAGAAAACTGAGTTCCAAAAAGATTCAACTTGGAGAAAGCAATCCAACAAATATTCATTAGAAAACAGCTGCACGCCAGGCACTATACACTGCTAGGACACGGTGACTCACAATCCCCACACTCAAAACTGACCACCTATTAGAAAAGAAGCAGAGTTGAACTGAACCCAGATCAACTAATGCTAAAGTGAATGTTCTTTCATTTCCATTGAGTACTCTAATGAAAATCTCTTAAGAATCACAAATGAGTCATAGTCATGGTTTCATCTTATAAATGTCCTCTTAGACTAAAAGTTCTTACACACTTTGGAAGAAATGCACCCCCTTATAAAAGCAT